TACACAATCTCTCCAGCCGTGTGCGTGTGTGTGTGTGACAGGGTTTAGAGCCCTGGCTGTCCTGGACTTAACTTGTAGAGCAGGCAGGCCTCAAACTAAAGATCTACTTGTCTCTGCCTCCCAAGTGCTGGGATTAAAAGCATGTGCCACCACACCTAGCACCATTAGTATTTTTATATTTTTGGTTGTGAGCCCAGCATTTAAGGGCTGAGCCATCACCCCAGCCCACCATTAGTATTCTTAAGGTTGATAATACAAGTTCTATAAGCTATTAAAAAACCACAATATACTCTGAATTTAGGAAGAAATTAGAATGGTATTAAGGAACTAGAATTCAATTAATTTGTCTTCTCCAAGAACTGCCAGGCATTGCCATAAACATCTCAACTGACAAGTCTACCCACTGTGGTTTTAAAGCCTTAACCTTAGCAAGAATTTCTGGAGGAATTACTGTAATTAGAGAAGTTAGAAGTAGAGAAGAACCTTTTACTGTACTCATTTAATATATACAAGTTAACTTAAGTTACACTTCACTGAGCCAGGCAGTAGTGGCGTGCACCTTTAATCCTAGCACTTGGGAGGCAGAGACAGGCGGATCTGTTAATTCAAAGCCAGCCTGGTCTACAGAGTGAGTTCCAGAACAGTCAGGATTACACAGAGAAACCCTGTCTCAAAAAAAAAAAAAAAAAAAAAGAAGAAGAAGAAAAATATGACACCTCTTTAAATCATGCTTGCTTTCACCTTCGTGTTTTTTCTATTAGTTTATACTGGGAGGCACTAAATATTGCTACGAAAGCCAACTACCAATTTCTGATTAAAGTAATGAAACCTTTAACAGGAGTGGCCCCAAAAGGTTAATTTAAAATTTACTTATTATTTATTTATGTAGTGATAGGGTCTTTCTATGCCTGAATTCATGGTAATTCCCCTGTCTCAGCATCCTAAGTGATGGGACTACAGGTTTACTCTTCCATGCTAACAAAGGATAATTTTAGATGTAATTCAGATGAGTCACTTTTTCTTACCATCTTCATCATTCTCCTCTTCATCTTCACCCTCTGGTTGTTCTGAATTCTCTTTAGGTTTGTTCTCCTCATCTTCCTGTTTCCTTTTCTGCTCTTCTTTTTTCTTTTTTCTCTTTTCTTTTCTTTTCTCTCTTTTAGCTGCAAGAGCTTGCTTTCTGCTCTCTTCTCTTGACTGCAAATAAAGTGTGTCATTTAACATTATGATGTAAAAACAATTTTTGTATTTATTTTGTGTGCAGGTGTTTCGCCTACGTATGTACCACTTGGCATGCTTGGGGCCTGAGGAGGACAAAAGCAGGCAGGAGGTCCTCTAGAACCAGAGTTATGGATGGTTGTAAGCCACCAATGTGAGTGCTGGGTACAAACCTGGGCTCTCTGTAAGTGCAACACAAGAGCTCTAACAGCTGAGCCATCTCTCCAGCCCCAATAATGTAATCATTTAAAATATTAAATGAAATGGCATTTTTGTTTTTTACTTCTCATGGATATCAGTCTCAAATACATTTATAAAATCAACAAGAGAAAAACAAATGGAGTGTCATAAAAATGAAATATATTTATAACTCAAATAGTCATCAACAATGTGAAAAAACATCTAGGACACCAAAATATATATAATTTATCTGATGAGGAACATGTACACCTACAACATACAGACATCTTTTATTACTCACTAGTGATCAAATAACCTAACTGAAAAATGAACTATCAGGCTGGGGTTACAGCTCTGTGGTGGAGTACTTGCTAAACATGTGGTAGTGGCAGGCAAGACATCAGGTCAGACTGGATATGCTAGTGTGCACCTATAATGCCAGAGCTCAGGAGGCTGAAAGTCCATGGCCAGCGTATATCAACACAGTGAAATACTGCCTTCGAACTAAAATACTAAATAAAAACTACGTTGCTGGGGGAGGGAGGGTGGGACTGGGAAGGGAGGAGGGAGGGGCTAATGGGGGGCTACAAAGGGAATAAAGTATAATTAACAAAATAAAAAAACAACATTGCTAAACTAAATAAAACCATACATTAATATGTAAAAAAAATTGTCAGTTACTCCTTAATAGGGCTGTTAAAAATAAATAGGAAGGCTAAAGATATGGCTCAGTGGTTAAGAATATGTACTACTTTACAGAGGACACAAGTTTGGTTCCCAGTACCCACATTAGGGCAGTTCACAGGTGCCTATAACTCCAATTCTAGTGGAATCTGATGCCTCTGGGCAGTGTATACATACACTTAAAAAGAAAAGAAAAAAAAAAATAAACCAAAAACAGACTGGGCATGGTGGAATATGCCTTTAATCCCAGTACTTAGGAGGCAGAAGCAGGCACATCTCTGAGTTATAGGCCAGCCTGGGCTTTAGAGAAAGACTCTGTCTTAAATAAATAGAGGGAGTGGGGAAGGGTAGGTGGCTGAAAATAGACTGTGGTGATTAATGAATGCACAAGCCAATGAATATTCTATACTGATTAGTATAACTTTAAATGGATAAGTTCTATGATATATAAATTAAATCTCAGTAAAAATATAGAAAAATACAATTCTGTGGCATATATTTGCCTAAAATGTAGTTATCTTGATTTTTATAAAGGACTGGCATATTTCACTACAAAAATGTTAAGAAGAGGGCTGAAGAGGTGGTTGAGAGGTTAAGAGCACTGGCTCTTCTTCCAAAGGACCTGAGTTCCAACACCCAGCAACCACATGACGACATGCAACCATCTATAATGAGATCTGGTGCCCTCGTCTGGCCTGCAGGTGTACATGCAGGCAGAATACTGTATAAACAATAAATAAATATTTTTTTAAAAAATCAAATAAATAAATAAATAAATCTTTTAAAAATGTTAAGACTAATAAAGAAATTTTTCCTTACTTTATAAAAAAATTTAAAGCCACATTTAGAACTCTTTACTGTCTTTCGTTTTTGCTAACATCTGTGGTTAACATAAAAAATGACATTTTCTTTTCAGAAAACAGCCAACAATAGTAACAGATGCTTAGCACTGTAATAAAAAAAAAGTCTGAAAAGAGAAAACACGTTACCTATATTTCTAGGAAAATTATGCGAAACAGGCTCATCAGAAGAAAAGCATTTTCCAGCTGGGCCTGGTGGTATTGGCTTAAAATTCCAGCTGCTTGGTAGGACGAGACAGGAAGATTGCAATTTCAAGGCCATCCTAAGTCATAAAGTAAGTATATGACCACCCTAGGACACTTGATAAGATCCTGTCTTAAAATAAAAGCAAAAAGAAGGCTAGGGATAGCTCAGGGGTAGAGTGCTTGCCTACCTTGCCTGAGAGTAGAATAATTGCCTAGTATGTGTATGGCTCTAGGTTTAATCCTCAGCATCACACACATACAGTTAAATTAAAATGGAAACAACAACAACAACAAAAGAACAACAAAACAAAATGTGATGGGTATGGCACACCCTTGCAATCCCAGTACTTGAGAGGCTAAGGTAGACATGCTGGTATGAATTTAATTTCAGTTGAGGCTGCATGGGCTAAAAGTATGGTTCTACCTCAAACCACAAACAAAAATCAAAATTAAAAAATAAAACAGAACATGTATATACCTTCTTTCTCAGTATATGGAAGTCCTAAAATTAACTTCCAGCTTGATGGTGGTGATGGCAGCTGCAGCATTCACCTGTAATCCCAGCACTTAGGAAGGCAGACACAGGTGGATCTCTGATAGTTCAAGGCCAGCCTGGTCTACAAAGGGAGTCCAGGACAGCCAAGGCTACACAGAGAAACCCTGTCTTGAAAAACCAAAGAAAAAAACAAAACAAACAAATAAACAAAAAAACCCACAATCTGGGTTTTAAATTTTTAAACCTTTCTCCAGACAGGGTTGGGGAACAAACCTAGGATTTTCCTAAACATCTAGACAAGAATGAAAACTTTACAAAGAAACTCTAATAATTACCTTTTAATTCTATTTTCCTAAAGACTACTATTCAGGGAGACAACAAATTACTTCCATTTTGATTTCCAACAGGGAGCTCACCCCACCCCTTACCTTTTCCAGATCCAGCTCTTTTAGGAGAATGCTTGCATTTTTATTTGCCTCTGCAGCCTGCTGGTCTTTAGCCTTCACAATCGTTTCAACACATTGGTGACACTTCTTCAGCAGTTCCTACAGGGCAAAGTACAAAAAATTTTAAAATAAAGGGTCCAGTATAAGTGGCGCTGAATAGAAAGGTGCACAAGTTAAACCTCAAATAATAAGAATTGGCTAAATTAAACTTTGACTTTAGTCCTGTATCAATCTTTCATGAGAATGAAGCACCTATAAAAAATAATTTTATTTTTGAGTCAGCATCTCAGCTCAAAGTAGCCTCCAACCCACTAAATTATTGAGGCACGCCTTGAAGTTAGTTTAGCTGCTGAACCTCCTTCTTCTGACCTCCAAATGCTGGAACTACAGGTATGCAACCGCAAGTGGCTTTTTTTTTTTTGTCCTGAGACAACATCTCTTTATGTAGCTCTGTCTGCCCTTGAACATACAGTAATCCTGCCTCTGCCTCTCAAGTACTGAGATTATAAGTATGTATTGCCATGTAAGACAAAGGCATCTTTTTTTTTTCTTTTCTTTTTATTCCTGTTTTTCTTTTAGCTTTTCCAGACAGGGTTTCTCTGTGTAGCCCTGGCTGTCCTGGAACTCACTCTGTAGACCAGGCTAGCCTTGAACTAACAGAGATCTTCCTGCCTCTGTCTCCAGAGTGCTGGGATTAAAGGTGTGCCCTACTACCTGGCTTGGCATCTTTCTTTCTTTTAAAAGGTATTCTTAGAAAATCTAGAATTCTAATCAAGCTAACGAAATTAAATAAACCTTAGCTATAGTCACCATCACTGTGATGCACAGGAGGAAGGTAACTTCAAATACGTTATCAAAAGTATCATACCTATCTACTTTGCTAATGGATAAGCCGAAAGACCCATGTTCATTCTCTTTTTCCAAGAAAAGGTTTTTCTGGATAGCCCTGGCTGTCCTGGAACTCATTCTGTAGTCCAGGATGGCTTCGATCTCAGAGATGCACCTGCCTCTGTCTTCCCAGTGATGGTGCTAAAGGCTATGTGCCATCACCACCCAGTAAAACCCATGTTCTTAATCTTTACATAACAAGCTCTTTGTTTGGTGCTGGGACTGAACTCATGACCTTCTTGATAGCTAAACATACACACTTACCACTGAAGACATGCCCAGGGGAAACAAGGTCTTAATTGTACTTCTTGGCATATAGTGCCACAAAGAATGAAAATGTGCTTCAATAACACATAGTAAACTTACCTTATCTGTAATTGTTGCTATGTATCTCATGCATTCTATATCAGATGGAAACTGATTGACTTCCTTCACCAAATACTGAACAACTTTTACATGACCCTGTAAAAAGCACAAAACCCCACAGATTTTGAAATTTTATCCATATTTAACACCTTACTGTGAAAAATTAACATTTTAAAAGTTTCCTAAATTTATAGTTAAAATATGGACATTGTAAAGAGAAAAAAGCAAGCAGAACATGCTCAAGGATAGAGGGGAGTCGGCTGGTCACTGTGGGACACGCCTTTAGTTCCAGCACCCAAAAGGCAGAGACAGACAGATGGATCTTTGTGACTCAGAAGCCAGCCTAATCTACACAGTGAGTTTCAGGACAGTAGGACTACATAAAGACACCCTGTCTCAAAAAACAAAAGCAAGCAAGCAAACAAACACTATATGGTAGACAAGACATTCTCATTTCCCACAAAAAGGAGGAAAGCTATTGAAAATATCTTTTTATATAATAAATCTACTTTTAGGGTAAAAATGGGAAATGTTTAATGAATCACAGATAAAAGGATACTAAGTCTGTAAGCGCAGACTTAGGTTTCAAAGCATTATTTGGGTTTCATTTTACTAATACACAGTTGGTATTTTTTTGAGCTTTATGACTTGAATATAGTTAAAACACATACACTCTCTCTCTCTTGTCAAGAGCCATTCTGTTAAAGGAATTCAGTAGGCCTGTGGGCTTTCTGGAAGGGCTCCAGTAATTTCCAAGATCTGTATCATGATGCACCACAGAACTGCTTTCAGCCTCTGCCCCCTCCACTCCCATTTCTGCACTGATGCACCTCTCAAAAATCTGGCATGGTATGAACCCTCACTTTCTGGGCTAAAGTAGTATTTACCCACTCTGACTGAACAAACTTTCTAGGGATCTTTTTGAAGATGTACTACTATTCAGATGAATTAATTCCTGATTATAGAATTCTTGGTTTGAGTCAAACAATCTTAGAAGCTAAACAGTTGATAGAAAGTTTACAGCTACAGTATATGTACTTTTGTGGACCTGCAGACACCTCACTAGGAGACAGGCTTGAGACAGATTTGTGGCTTCAGATAACTTTCTCTCTGGAAATGGCACCAGGAATCCTGGTACGCACCATAAATATGGACAAGTTGGCTTAAACTTCCCATGAACCTAAAATATAATGGGGCTACCAAGAAATGTCTAAATTAAGTACAAACCTTAATCTCAAAATATACAAACTGTTTCTTTGTAATTCCTTATACCTTGTCAGCTTACAGCATACAAAACTGTCTTTCTAAATTTACTTTGTTTCTTAGAATGAAAGACAGATACAATTATTGTCCTGAACTCACTATAAACTAAGAGATAGCTGGAAAATGCGTAGCCAGGTCAGTCTTAATTAAATAAACATATATCTTGTTATAACCTCTTGGACCCTGTTAACTTTTAGGCCTTGTCAACCTTTGCTATTCTGAACTCACTATGAACTTATGTAATGAATACACAGATAAGAAATGTTTAGTTTTAATGAAGACATGTAACCTATTACACTTTCAAATTCATCTGTTTTTTGTGATTAACTGCCTTTTTGACTATGAGGTAATTCGTTTTCTGACATGGAGAGGTTTGTTTCCGAAGCATAAAAGTTGTGAGACCAGACAATAAACAGGATTGAAGTTTTTAACTTCATCCATTTTCCCTCTTGGTCGTGTGTGGCATGAGTGGTCTTTACTTATTTCCTCTCTTCTTTCTTTTCTCTTGTTGATTTACCAAATGGTTAGCAAATTCAGAGTTTTACCATCAGCCTTCTAAGATAAGTAGGCCAACCATACTTGAGTCTGCTTCCTTCACAGAAGCTGGCAGGCCTGTCCTTGCACACAAAATCAAAGAGGGACCCTGTCCCCATTTTTTTTACAACTCCTTGCAGTTTTTGGCTAAAAGCTGCTTTTTCAGCCCTGGCTGCAGAAAAAGTGTACGTTTTACATTTTCCTTGTCAGTGGCAGAGCAGCCTGACCAGAGCTGCAGAGAGGATACCTTGTCTCCCTCTCCTTTTCCCTGTCCTTACTGACTGCCTTTTGCAGTCTCAAAACTTAAAAGCTTTTGAATTTAGGTACAGAATGTGAGAAAAAAACGCCAGTCACAAGTCTGACTGGCTCCATTTGTTGACCCTGCGTTCACATGCCTCAGGCCTTTCCTTCCCTGAATCAAGTCAAAGCTGAATTTGACTTCACATGGATATTATCTCTCTCTCTCTCCTTTCCTCCACCCTCCCTCCTTCTCTCCTTTCCTTCAAGACAGGGTTTCTATGTGCAGCCCTGGCTGGCCTGGAGCTCACTCTTAGACCAGGCTGTCGAACTCAAGAGATCCACTTGTCTCTGCCTTTTCTGGGATTAAAGTTGTGTGGCACCACGACCAGCTGATAAAACACTTTCCAAATGCCCTTACTGGGGACTGAATGATAGGTAATGAAGTCTAAGCACATCCACTTTAAATAATAGTTTTCCCATCCTACGAAGGTCCTGAAACATCCCTAAGAGAGTCTGTCTCTGGTTGATGTGATGACTCAGCTGGTGAAAGCATCTGCCAGAGCCTGACAACTCCAATATGACACCCAGGACCCACATGATAGGAGAGAACTGAGTTCTGCAGGCTGTCTTCTGAATTCCACTCACACACCGTGCGACACACCCCGCCCCCAGAAACAATTCTCATACAAACACACTTAACAACAACAAAAGACATTAGAGTTTCTCTGAGGTAGACAAGAAAATAGAAAGCAGTTACCTCTGGGATGTGAAATTAACTGAAAACAGGTAGTAGATGATCTTCTAGGGTTATGAAAGTATCTTTTACCTTTGCATTTATACAAAGTCATTACACCATGGACAAAATTTATGTTCTTTAGTCTAAATTAAACTTTAATTAAAAGGTTTCTTTTCTCCCCCCTTTTTTTTAAGAACTGGAGAGATGACTCCATGGTTAAGCATGTATACTGTTTTTCAGATGATCCAAGTGTGGTTCTCAGGATCTAGGATCTAAAGCCTCTGGCCTCCACTTGCATGCCCATGCACATGCCCACACACAGACATACACAACATATAAACAATTAAAAAAAATGGGGGGGTGGGGGTGGAGAAATGGCAGAAGACTGGGGGTTCAGTTTTTTGCATACATATGATGGTTTATAACCATCTGTGCCTTGCGTTTCACAGGACCCAATGCTCTCTTCTGGCCTCCCTGCATACCAAATAGTCATATGCACGCAGGCAAACATCCATACACATAAAATAAATTTTGGTTTTTAAGTCTTAAATTGGGTGTGATGACACATGCCTTTAAGTTCAGACCTTGAAAGGCAGAGACTTTGTGAGTTTGAAACCATCCTGATCTACATTTTGAGTTCCAGGACAGTCAAGGCTACATAGAAAGACTTGTCTTAAAAACAAAACAAAACAAAACAAAAAACCAAAAGTACAATAAATAAATAAACAAACTGGGAATAAACAGGAAGAAAATAATAGTAATGTTTCTTAGTCATCATGGGCATAAATATGGTAAAAAAAATTTTGAATATATAATTACAAATTAAAAGAAAAATAAATTTCAACCATAAAATCTTTCTCAATTCGGGTATTAGAGACGTCTCAGAAAAAGTCATGTAATGAGAAATAAAGTGTGAGTAGAATGGTGACTCAGTTTGAAGAGCAATGGAATAAATTTTCAAAAAAGGTTAATAAATGAGCAACAGCCTATGAACAGTTAAAAATCCAGTGCATTCCAAGCCAGTGGCAACACAACGTAGTACACAAAAAAGAGGAAGGGCAACATGAATGATTAGGCCATGGAAGTAAACAAGAGTAAAATTATGCAGGGCTAGGTTTCATAGACCACATGCTTTGTTATTTGTCAGTTATTCTAAGATGTAGGGATTAAAAAGACAGCAGAAAGATGAGCGTGTATATACATAAACACACACATATATATGAGACATAGATTTTTAAGAAAGCTCATTCCTTTTTATTCTGAAACAACTATCTGTATATAGCTATTGCTTTCCTTACATCTCATGGGTATGTGCATGTGTCTGTTGTCTTTTCATGTAAGTGTGGGTGGGTGTGTACACAGAGGCCAGAGCACAACTCTGGGAGTTTTACTCTATTGTTCTCTGCCTTATTGCCTTGATAGGGTTTTTCCCTGAACCAGAAGCTTGCAGATTGTCTCTAATCCCAAATGATGGGGTTCCAGGCAGGTGTAGCTATGCCTGGCTTTTAATGTTGGTGTTAGTCATTCCAACTCAGGTCCTCTTGCATGTAAAGCAAGAATTCTTAAATCACTGAGCTATCACCCTAGCCCCAAACTTTATTATGTTTTCAGTAATATGACATAATAAAAGCTGATCAAGAAACCAAATGAATTAAAAGCAAAGCTAATTACAGTGAACTACCGAATTACCTAGGTTTAGCCACAAAATAATGGAAAGACAGCAATGTTTTCTGTTTTATTTTGTTTCAGATAGGGACACATGTATCCCATGCCCTTTAACTTACTTTCATAGCCAAGGGAAGCCGTGAACTCTGGACCTTTCTGCCTTTACCTCCTGAGTGGTGGGATTACAGGATGTGCCACCATACTTGGTAATAGTTTTATTTGCTTGTTTTTTTGTTTTTTTAAGATGGGGGTCTTACTTTGTAGTCCTAGCTGCCCTGAATCTCATGTGGAACAGTGGCCTTGAACTCAGAGGTTCTCCTGAGTGCTGGGATTAAAGGCATGAAACACCATGTCCAGAAATAAGCAGTGACTTTATATGCAGATACACTTAACAATATGAGTTTATACTCTGCACATGGTTTCAGCACAGACTTGTTTTAAAATTATTAAATTTTATCTTTTCCCCATAGGTCATATTACCTTGCGAAATGCTGACATAAGAGGTGTGATTTTTCGGTTGTCTGCTGCATCCACATCAGCACCTGCTTGCACTAGTAACTGTACTACATCAAAATGACCACCATTGGATGCCAGCCAAAGTGGTGTGTTTCCCTTCTTGTTACGAACATCAATATGAGCTCCCCTACAAATAAAAAATAATAATCAACAGTCTGTTTGCTGTAAGAGACTGGCATTTTATAGTATTTTCTTACCGTGCAACAATTTGTTTTTAAAATGTTGGTAAAGTTACTTTTAAAGAGCATGAAAGGAACCACTGGAATTCTACGTATATCAACAGAAATATACTTACCTGTTAATGAGGAGCTCACAGAATTTGTAGTGGCCTTTGTCTGCGGCTATTGTCAAGGCTGTGTCTCTTGAGGAAGGCACAGGAGGAGCATTCACATCTGCTCCTTTATCAAGGAGAACTCTTCCAACCTCGGCATATCCTCCAGAAGCCGCCTCCATCAAGGGGGTAAGACCAGTCTGTTTAAATCAGTAACGAATGCAATGGAATTATGGAATTTCTTAAAAAAGGCTCAACTAATTCATATTTAAGTAGATTCTATTTCTGATTTTCTCTATAAAAAGACTAAATAGCTTTGTGTTTTCAACTGTACTAACTCAGCTTTGTGGTAGCTCATGTAATCCCAACTCTTGGCAGGTGGAATCAGGAGGACCAGGCTCAGGAGCTCAGGGCAATCCCTAGTGTAGACCACATGAAATCCTGTCGCAACAGCAGCTCCCCAAAATAAATAAACAAACAAGCAAGCAAATAAATACATTTTATTAAATAGCAAATGAAATTGTTAGATTTAATGAGACGTGCCAGAGTACATTCACTCACAATCTTGTGTAAGAAAAGAGAAAAGCAAAGCCAGGTATGGAGAAACCTGAACTCAGCTCTCAAGATGCTAAGGCAGAAAGCCTGAGTTTAGGGAGCTAGAATTGCAGTTGGTTCGCTCATTCCCTCAGCTCCATCCCTTGGAAAGAGTCTTACTTATATAGCCCACACTGGCCTTGAAAGTGAAGTCTTCCCCACCTTCTATAATTTTAGAATTTTAAGAGTATGCCATCATGCCTGGGCTTTTTAAAAAAAACAAAAAAACAAGATACTTCTTAAGACAGGTGTGATCCCTGTAATCCACATATAAAGGAGGTAGAATCAGAAAGTTGAATTTAAGCCTAGTCTGAGTTACTGTCTCTAAAAAATGAAATCCCCAAACCAAAATGAAACAAAATAAAAAAACAAATACTACAACTTAGACTAGTCCCCAGACAGTATGCATCATTCTAGAGCTTTTAATAGGTGAACAGACCATAATTGATATTTGAAATTGAAAAGGACAAGGCTATCTTCTAGATATCAGATGGCCACTGCATCCATGAAATCACAACACAAGACTGAACAATCAACTTTCCATGATGGATGGCAAAGGAGATCCTAAGGCTCCACCTCTTCCTAAGAGGGCCCATATGCAGTGGTTGCGGGAAGGGAGGAAATCCTATTCCTCTGTAATGTAACCACTGGTAGGTAAGGTGTCCTTGCTCAAACAAATAACCCCCCAACCTCCCTCCCGGGCTCATGAAAAACGTGTGTTTGTATGTGTATGTAAGCTGTTTTGATGGCTTAGTAGATAAAGGCACATGATGCCAAGCCTGGCCACCTTAGTTTGAGTCCAAAATCCACAGTTAGAATAAGAAAACCAACACCCTCAGGTTATCCTCTGACTTGCACACATTTCTCTGCTGTGCATGTGTATACATGGAACACATATACACAAAAATAAGTAAAACAAAGCATAATACAAAAGTTAAAACGGGGAAGTATTTGCTTTCTAATATAACCCCTACAAATTACTGCTCTGTTTGAATCTTCTTGTAAGCATTTTTATTTAATTAATTATATTATTCTGTATATGTGTTTGGGAGGGGGATGCATATACCATGGCACACGTGTGGAAGTCAGAGGACTTCCCTTCCACTATGTGGGTTCTAGGGATCTCAGGACATCAGGCTAAAAGGCAAATACTGCCACCCACTAAGCCATCTTTCTAACGCCCAAACTTTTTGTTTGAGACAGGGTTTCATGGTAGTGCAATACATGTTAAGAATACTAACTGAGGGACTGAAAAGATGGCTAAGCAGCTAGGAGTACTGGCTCCTCTTATAAATGATCTAGGCTCAGTTCCTAGCAACCTTGTCATGGCTCACAACCACCTGTAACTCCAGTTTTAAGAGCAACATGCTCTTTTAGCCTCTGCAGTCACCAGATATGAACATGGTACACATACATACATTCATAAACATTCGTACACATAAATTTTTTAAAAAATTAAAAAGGCTAGGAGTAGTGGTGCATGCCTTTGAAACCAGCATTGAGCAAGCAGAGGTAGGAGGATCTCTGTAGCTAGCCTGGTCTACAAAGAGGTCAAGTTCTAAGACAGCTACATAAAGAGACCCTATCTGAAAATAAAAAATAAAGGAAAAAAGATTAACTGTTAGAACTGATGGATGAAATTTCCATTCAGATTTTCCAACCTTAAATGACTTATGGTTTCAGCTATCTCATTGAAAAAACTTCCACCTACCTATATAAGTATCTGATATTTCAAGGTAAAGAAATTAAAGGAATGATGTACTAATTGTTATTTCTAAATACTATTCCAAATACTCATGAATCTCTCAGAATTTGTCATGTTTAAATCAGATGTTAGTTGTCCAAATTTTATAATCCATGAACATATTTTGTTTAAGATTTTTACCAATGGTAAGTACATGTCTTAGTGAAGAGAATTTTTAAAATGTTAATAGTTCGTATTAACTGCTTAATTCCTTAAGTCTGCACTGGGGATGAGTTGAAACGGCATGTTTGTTTATACAGAACTGAAATTTTAAAAAGTTGACAAGTTATAAAATTCTTACCTTTGCCCTATGTTCAACATTGGCTTTGCGGTCCAAGAGCAAACTCACTACTTCTGCTCGACCCTGGAAACAGGCCAGGGTGAGAGCTGTGTTCCGGTTGGTCTCTATTTGTGCATTAATGTCTGAACCCATATCAAGCAGCAATTTCACTGCGGGAACATGTCCATTCATTGCAGCCAACATCAATGGAGAAATACCTAGTTTACTCCCAGTCCTAAGGAAGAAATGTGCTCAGAAAATTAGTTATGTTACCTTGTTTTTTTAAAAAAGCATGACAGATAAAAAATGTCAGTAAAGATTTCTAACATAGATGAACAGGAATGGCAAAAAATTCATAATTTAAAACATAATTCCTACTTAAGAAACTAATTAAAGTAAAAACTCAGCAATCATGAATAATAAAATAAGTGAACAGGTGATACCTTGAATTAATTTCTGCCCCAGCATTAAGCAAAATCTTAATAATATTCACATATCCTCCAGATGCAGCCAGACTCAGTGGTGTATAATCAGACACATTCCTATGTTCTTTATTGGCTCCTCGGGCAAGCAGCAAATCTACCACCTACAAAGTAAAATATGAGCAGAAAAACCAAGGTTACACTAGTTCTCAATTTTAAGGGTACACAAATAAATAGTACCTTCAATTTTTTTTTTTTTTGTCTACTATCTGACGTTCTAATATATTTTATTTTATTAGGCCTTAAATATTAAAATATCAGCACTAGATAAACAGATTCTTTCTTTTTTTGGTGGTCATATTTGTTTTTGAGACAGAGTCTTCTAATGTAGCCAAGGCTGGCCTAGAACTTGCAAGCAATTCTGCTCCAACTTCCTAAGTGCTAAGACTATAAATATGCAACACCATATCCAATGGAATTTTGTATCAAAAAATTAAAATCTGCGAGCTTCTGTGGCAGCTCTCTGGGAGGTAAGTCAGGACTGCCTCAACCTCAAGGCAACCCCAGCTACTTAAGAGATTCCACCTCAAACAAAGAAAGTCAGAGTGTTGTGCTGTTTGAAGACCAGCCTGTGTTACATGAGACTTTGTCCTAAGAACTCATGATAAGAGCTTTCAAAAAAAAAAAAAAGTCTCGTTATATTGAAACAAGACACTTTCTATTTGTCAATTAATAAGCACTGGATTTACATTTACGTATGTCAGAATTGTACTCAACTCAAAGCCAATAAATGTAGAAATAAAGACAACTGTTATTTGTTTTTATAGATAAAACCATTCCTTTAAAGGGTATACACTATTTCCATTATACTTAATAAAACATTTCAATCTTTAGAACGTTTATGGCAGTAGTTCTCAACCTGTAGGTCATGACCCTTTTGGGGGATGAATAACCCTTTCACAGGGCAGCGTATCAGATACCCTGAATATCAGATATTTAAAATTATGATTTATAAGAGTAGTAAAATTACAGTAATGAAGTAGCAATGAAAATAATTTTATGGTTGGGGGTCACCACAACAACGGGAACTGTATTACATCATTAGTAGGAAGGCTCAGCAGTTAAGAGAACCTACTGAACTTGAGAGGACCCAAGTTCAGCCATTCCCAGCACCTAAATTAAGCAGCTCATAACCATATATAACTTGAGCCTTAGGATCATAAATCTTTGGGCTCTACAGGTGTCCACATGCACATTCATATATACATAAACATGCATACTTTTAAAGAAAAATCTCGAGTAGTAATCATATACACATTTAAAAATATAAGCAAAATATTTCCAAGAGAAAACTAGTATTAACATACCTCCTGACGTCCACCAGAACACGCCAAAGAAAGTGGAGTATCCTTAGTTCGCTCAGATTGTGCCTCTATATCTCCACCTTTATCCAAAAGAATTTCAACAACTCCAACATGCCCCGCTGTTGCCGCCAGGATCAGTGGGGTAAAACCTAAATTAGAAAACAAAAAATTCTAACCAATTTGTGTTCTTTTATTTACTTTAATGTCACTGTTTTTAATTCCCTTTTATTTTAATTTAAAAGACTTCAGGGCAGATGCTGACAAACAATTTAGCGTCAAACTGTTCTAAATTCTAATTTGTTAATGATAAAATACACAAACACCCGGCAAAAGGAAATGCTAAGTCAATGAAAGCTATTAAAGTTCACACTTTTAAAGCACATCAGGATTAATGAAGGCGGCATCCACAATTTGTTTTTTGAGCCTAGGGCCTAACTCATGCTAGGAAAGAGCACAGCCCCACTACTCCATCACTTTCCTTAATTTATTTCACTTTCTAAATTTTAGAAAATTATTTGGTTCTGTAGATGAATGAGCCTGCAAACTATTTATTTTACCACTAAGAATATAAGAGCCTGGAAACAGTAGTGCACGCCTTTAATCCCGGCACTTGGGAGGCAGAGGCAGGTGGATCTCTGAGTGAGGCTAGCCTGGTCTACAGATTATGTTCCAAGACAGCCAGAGCTACACAGAGAAACTCTGTCTTGGGGAAAAAAAAAAAACACCTTTATTATTATACATATATACATTAACTATTCATAGTAAAAACTGTGTAAATAGTTTTTTGGGGGGGTGTAAATACTTAGATTTTATTTGTGAGTGATGGTTCTTACCTTTTTTGTCTCTGTGCTCAATTTTAGCATCTCGTGCAATCAGAACAGACACAAGTTCCTCATGACCACCTGCACAGGCTAGGGTTAAAGCTGTGTCATGATTGCTTTCAGTCTAAGAGGGGAAAAAAATCATTTATATATTTACAAGAGTTCTCAATAAACGTACAACCATATTTTTTCCTTTCAAAATAAATTAGAACAAATGAAACAAAGTCATACAGAATCTACTCACATGTGCATCGATGTCAACTGAAGGATACACAGGGGGCATGGATGGGGCAACCACATTGCTTGGAGTTTGAGAACAGGATTCAGGTGTAGGACATTCTGTGGTCTGAGAGGGGTTGTTTGAGCCAACAGGCACTCTGGTACTCACAGCTGAAAAATAATATTTACATACCTAAATTCTACTTAAATGAATAATACTGTTTGTACACAGAAAAAAACATGTAAAACAAAAATGTCAATGAGTAACATACTATAGTGAAATCACAAGCTTTGGAGTCAGAAGAACCTATACTGAATGACTTTTTTTAACTCATGCAATTTATTTAATTTAATTGAGCCTCAATTTATATGTATAATGAAGATGCGTATATAATACCTTCCTTGAGAAGTCTGGGGGAAGACCATTTGAGATAGTAAGTGTAACTGAGCACAGGGCCTGTTGTTACTGCACATAAAATCAATGGTGGAATCTTACGCTAGCAACAAGCACTATTATCATTTTGTAATTTAAGAGTTTTTAAGCCAGGTATGATGATCCATATTTGTAATCTTAGGACTCAGAAGTCTGAGACAGGAAGATCACAAGTTCAAGGCAAGAGTGGGACAGCCCTCAAAAAGCAAACAAAAAAGAATGCTTATCTTAAGTTTGCAAAATTTAGACAAAAATGTTCTGTAAATAACGGAAAGGGGCGGGTTAATAAGTTAGATAATTTCTCACACAGAACAGCAAGGAATGTGTTTTTAAAATTCAGCATTTACTTTTCTTTCTTTTGAGTCAGGGTCTCACTATGCAGTCCTGGCTTACCTGGAACTCTCTACGTAGACCAATCTGACCTCAAGCGCAAACATGCCTGCTTGGATTAAGGTGTGCACCACCATGCCCAGTTAGTATTTACTTTTAAAGTTAGGTAAAAGCAATTTCTCAAAGTCAAACTATCTTTAAAATGAATGCTAGAAATTTATATTTGAGGTCTCAAAATTTGGAGTTTGCAGTTTTGAATGGTGATACACCCCTGTAATTCTAGTACTTGGGATTTAGAAGCAGGAAGGCTAAGAGTTCAAAGTCATCCCCAGCTACACAGCAAATTCAAGGCTAGTTTGGGCTTCATGAGACCTTAGTCTCAGAAAAATCAAACCCAAAATGTGGTGTCTAAAAACACAAAGTTGAAAGCTATATTTTATGTGTTATATCTTTGTTTCATGGAGGATGAAGTTTTGGCTCACAAAGTTTTAAGTGGGACTAATATTAAAGGATTTAACAATGCCTCACACAAAGTAAGTGCTCAATAAATGTAAATTTAGACATTTTATAATGCTTTCAGCACTATTATTCAATGTATTGGAAAATAAAAACATTACTGTTCAAGAAAGCAAAAAACTCAGCTAATGGTATAAAAAAATTAAGCTTCCTTGATGGCAATAAACTTATAAAGGACTCAACTTAGTAATTTACTAAGTTTTTTTGTTTTTTTTTTTTTTAAGACAGAATCTCCTGTAGTCCAGGCTGGCCTAAAACTTGATGTGAAGCTAAAGCTGGCCTTGAACTACTGATCCTCCCCTCCTGCTTCCACCTTCCAAGTGTAGGGTCCTGATATTTGCCACTCCAAGTTTAATCTAGTAGTTAAAATAACTCAACAAATTTTAAGATGCCTAGATTTGTTGCTTCAAGAATTATCCCCTTTTCTCCCCACCAATATATAAAACCATCCTGGCAATATAAATCCCAGCAACTTTATTCACCATAAAAACAACTTTTAAGTACCCAGCTATAAATAGGAATGATTATTTAAAGCTTTAAAACTTTTTGTCATTCAATGAAAGCGGCAGATGTTACATCTCAGAATATCTGATATGTTTAGAAGACAGCGCCAAAAAATACCCCCCAACATACTAGATTGATATGTCACACCTTACTGATAGATTTACGGTGGTGGGTATATGAATATTAATGTATACCTTAGGAAATAATTATATTTCTATCAGTTTATTCATGTCATCTCTTTTTGAAAAGCAAGGTATTTAAATTTTTTTAAGTATTTGACTAGAGTAAAAAGCTAGAATATGATGTTATGAAAGACTCCTTTACAGAACTTACTTAAAAAAAAAAAAAATCAACACACTTCCTGTGTATTTAACAGCTCTATTACCCAAAACATGGTATTGCTTTGTGTACATTTTTATACTACATTATTCTAGTATATTTTCTCTGTAATAATGACAATCAGAACCATTCCATGGAAAGTGACTTTAATAGGATTAATTACAAATGAAAGTTATAAAGTTTGTATTAGAAGAACATTATACTTTAGAACCATGACATTTTCATGAATTTTAAAACATTTCCTATCTCTGAACAAAATGTCTCTTAAAATGACAGTAGACAACTACAACAAAAAAATCAATATACAATTCAAATTTAAAAATTACACTGTTCAAAAGTAGGGCAATAAAAGAACCAAGTATAATATTTTTAACCTGACTTTTTATGAAACCAAGCAAAAATTTATATATAGTATGGAATAACAAATCTTAACAAAAATTTTGCTGCTACTAGATAGACAAAAATATGTTGTATGGTTTTAATCATTTAGTGGATATGGTGCTAGTACTTGGGAGATAGAAGATTAAGTATTCAGAGTTTAAGGCTAGCCTGGACTACATGAGACTGTCTCAAAAAACAAAAGTCCCAGGCCTGATGGTACAATTTTATAAGCCAGCTGCTCCAGAGGCCAAGACAGGAGGATTACAAATTCAAGGTATGCCTGGCTACAGGGTGAATTCAAGGACAGATCCTATCTCAAAATCATAAAAACACAAACTGGGCTGGGCTGAGAACATAGAGAATTTCTCTAACATTTGTAACAAAACAGCAGAAATTTTACTATCATTGGGTATACGTCATAGTAATAATAAAACAGTTTTCATTTAAATTACAGCCTAACCCAGGTGGTGGTGGCACACACTTTTAATCCCAGCCCTCAAGCAGGCAGAACTCAGAAGTCTACCTGCCCCTGCCTCATTGGGGCAGCCTGGTCTATAGAAGTTGTTCCAGGACAGTAGAGCTACACAGAGATACCCTGTCTTGAAAAATAAAACAAAACAAAAATTAAAACCTAATAATAAATATTAACAGAAGAAATTATTATTTAAAATGTCTTATAAATCCCTTCAAAATAAGAGAATTTCCTAATTCTTGAAAAAAACTTATTTGTAATTACTGTATGCATGTTGTATATGTGTATATCACACATATGTTGGGATACCCATAGCTGAATCCTGATCCCATAGAGCTGGAGTGGCGTGTGTGTGTGTGTGTGTGTGTGTGTGTACATGAAAGACAGGGTCATACTATGTAGCCCTGGCTGGCCTAGAACTCTTAATGTAGACAAGGTTGGCCTTTAGCTCACAGAGCCATCTGCCACTGCCTCCTGAATGCCAGGATTAAAGGCATGTTTGTGCCACCATGCCAAGTTCTGGTGATTATGAGCCACCTGACATGGGTGCTGGGAACTGAACTTTGGTCCTCTGAAAGGACAGTATATACTCTTAATCTCTGAGCCATCTCTCCAGCCCTAATTGTTTATTTTTAAACTTAACAATGATCATTGCAGTATCACTTAAATACATTAAAACTGTAATATAAATGAGCTCATAAAAATGCCAACAGTAATACTGTATTAGACACAAAATCATATTAAAACTCACATGCATATCAAACCCTAATATAAAAATAAGAGCAACTGTTATCTAATAGGATTTAGAAGTATAAGAAATAATAGATTTTTTAAGATAATGCAGAACTTTTATTCAAATCAGATACATAAAATATGACACCTAAGGGGTTGTTTGTTTGTTTTTCAGACAAAGCCTCATTATGTAGCTCTGGTTGGCCTGGAACTCAGGGATCTGCCTTCCTCTGCTTTGAGAGTCCCCAAATTCAAGGCCTTCAGCACCACACCAGGCTTCACTAGGGCTCTTAAATATGGCCAAACTAAGTGAAATTTCTACAGTAACTAGCAGCTCCCCATATTATTCCCCTTACAAAGCAAATGGATACAGATGTATTAAATAAAGGTGAGAAGGAACTCCTGTGTCTAGGAAATGTACAGGGGAGATACTCTGTACGTCCTTTCTCTAAGCTTTAGTTTCCAACAGAACTGGAGGTAGGTGAATCTATTTTATGGGAGAATTTTAAACAGCCTGAGATGGTTCAAATAAAGCAACTACCACAAAGCTTAGTACATGTTTAGTGTTCCATAGATAATAAACTGATACCGATTTTTAACCAATCCTCTTACATATTAATAAAAATTTTTGAATGCTTTCTACAACTGTTCAACAGTCAAAACTATTTTGAGTTTCTTTAAATTGCTCTAAATTTCTAGGCTTTTTGTTTGTTTGTTTTTTAATCTAAGTATATTTTCCTTCCTTTCCTTTGTGTTTACCGAGACAGTACAGCCCAGACGAGCCTTGAACTTGGTGTGTAAAGAGAAAGACTCTGAACTCCTGGTCCTCGGGGTCCTGCTTCCCAGGTGCTAGGATTACAGGTGTCAACAGGCCAACAGGCCTGACCAAGAAGGGATTTTTTTTTTTAATTCAAGAAAATATATAAAGCTAAAGAAAATCAATAAAATACAAATATAAAATTAGAAATGAAAGTTCTAATAACTGCTTCCATGAGCACAGAATACACAATTTCATATTATTTGATAAACATTTTAACTTTTGAGATCACTTGCTATTATGGAAATTGATAAAAGCCTAATGCTTTCAGAAGAGAGAGATTTGGGGTTCCTAATCAAGATTTAATATTCTGTTCATAACTGTACAGAATTTAACATATCTAAGAATACATGATACAGGCTGAGTAAGTGAACAAGTTATGACATTAATAAGTTATATATATATATAACTTATATATAACTTATATATAATTAGTGAATTGTGTATATATATATATATACACAATTCACTAATTATCATGAAAATATTTTGAGAGTTGAATAGCAATAATGAGAAAACATTCTTAAAGAGGGAAATTTCTATTTTCTATGGTGGGAAATATATATATGTATTCTCCCAAGAGAAACTTTAAGATACCTACTATTCTCTTTCACTAATGAGAATAAATTTAAGTAGAATTAATTGTGTCAATGGCTTGTTCCATAACCCTACTGATATGTGTGAATGTTTTATAGTTATATAGTTAGCTATTAATCTTGTATAATTTTTATCACAGTTAATTAAGAAAACTAGACTTGGGGAAAATATAAACAGAGAATACAAATATCACCATACATTTCAAAACAGATAAACTTCATAAAATACAACTTTTTATTTATCAATTTAAAAGTTAAAACTTATTTAGAATGCGATGAGCATTTAATGTCTAATATATATTAAGTTTTATTATCAATTAACATATAACCTAAAAGTTGTTTTCTAAGGTAATTTTTAAAAGTTTTACATGAACTCTGTAAAAGAGCTTTTCTATTTAAAAATACTTCAATGAAATAAACATTTTCAAGAACCTTCCGTAAAAATTAGCATAAGGTTAATTACAAGTTTCCTTTAGAGTTGTTTCAGTTAAAGTAAAACTGACTTAAGAAGCTCTATAGGCCAAAGATATAAAAATTCAAATTAAAGAATAACAATCGTAACTCCTTAAAATATTTCCCAGGATTTGAATTTTAAGAAACCTAGACATTCCTCTTCTTCACAGTGCTATCTATTACATGGCAGAGGAGCCTCACTGGCAAAATTACATCTATTAACCAATGGAAGTAACACATATACCCAATAAAAATTCCTGATTTAATCTTATTCCACATTTTCAAAGATTCAGTAAAGATTAGGAGACTAAAAAGGCTCACAAAAGAAGAAAGAAAACTGGGATAGTATAATTGGGGTAGGAAGGGGAGGAGAATATGACAAGAGGAAACAGACAACAATAAGGAAAAAAATGTTGCAATCAAGAGACAGAGGACTGGCCTGCCTTTGAATATCACTCCAGCTACATCTTAGTTCTTGGTCTTCATCCACTGTCAACAGCCATTCTGGCTGCAATTCTGAACTGGGCTCTCATGGAGGTGATACATTCACCAGCCATCTTTAGGAAGGTAAATGATTAATTGCACTGTTTTCCCACTGCTGCAAGGACAATGAAAGGGAAAGTAAACTTGTGCACCTCATTTCATGTCTAGTTGTAATTTTCCACACAACAATAAACAGAAACATACACTTTAAGATTATCAGTCTTTTTTCTTTTTTGGGTGTATGTGCACAGATGTGCATGTATGCATGCACACTCTTAAGTGTGTCTGTATGCTTGTTCATCAAGAGTTAACACAAAAATTCCAACCTCCAAACAGCAAGTATAATAGTTTAAGTGTACTTTAATCTTTTCAACACAAAATCTATACAATGGACTGTTGAGCTTTTCCCATTTAATTAGAGATAATTAAATTGGTCTAATAACAAAACATAGTATCATTTAAAATTCTAATGCCCAAACATGAAATTCACAGGCAAGAAAATGAAATAGGTAGCCTTGCCTGCATACTTCTAAACCCTACAAAAAAAAATTCTACTGAGCGCTCCTACCCAGGAAGTAACAGAGTAACTTTGATAGCAAATTTTCAAAGGATTATGATAACTTTGTTGGTCTTTGAAATGTGCTTGTTTTGTTTTTAAGTAGAAAAGGGAAACACCCTTTATGTGTTAGTACTATTGGACTTACTGAAATTCACTTACAAAATTCCTAAGAATTTTACAAAGATAGTTCTAAAATAGAGAAGTACAAAGTCTTGTGTTGTTGAAGGGGCATTTAAAGAAGTTGAGCACACAGATTAAAGAAAAAGTATCTTAGGTATATTTCTTAACCCACCTGCTATCAGGTCATCAAGAGTGTCGGTAAGCGTCTGGGCTGGAGTTGCAACCATGAGTCCATCTGGCTCTTGAACTAACAGCCCCTGCTCATGTCCAGCAATCGCAATCTGAGGCTGTCCTATAATCTGCTGGTTACCTGATACTTTATGAAGCACAAGAGAATTTGTTCCATTAGAACCTAAGTCACTGGAAAAGTTACATTGTGGAGATGATAGAGGCTGGACTGGGACAGAGTCAATTTGTTCTGCTGATGCTGGAGACTGTTGCTTATCATCAATACCATGATCTTTAAGTAAGACTGTATCAACCTGGGGTGATTCTGAAGAGTGATCCTCTGGGAAACAGCCATCTTCTTCCCCTGCCACGAAGATTCCTCTATGAGAGCACTGCTGGTGTGGAGACTCTACATCTCTCTGACCTTTGGTTTCCAAGTATTCTTTGGTAAATTGCTGCTGTGTTTTCATCTGTAACTGCCTTTCCACTTTCTGCAGTTCTTTTAGTATTTTCTTCTTCTTCTGGACTTGTTCTTCTCTGTTCTTTTTAAGTTCTTCGATCTTATCCTTGTTCAGAGGCTCACCTTGAATTAACTCCAAAGACTTAAGCTGTGCTTTCTCAATAGCACTAATTCTTTGTCCCAGCTCATTCAGCTTGCCCTCAGTCTCTTCTACTATGCACTCCAAAGGCTGGTATGGGTGAAAAGGTGGCAGTAGGTCCTGGTCTGCTACCTGCAGAGAACTGGACTTCTGCTTGGATGCACCTAAGCACATGAAAAATGTTTGAAAATGTGCCATGCTGAAAAAAAAGAGAAAGAGAGAGAAAGAGAAAGAGAAAGAAAGAAAGAAAGAGAGAGAAAAGGAAAAAAACCCCAAAACATAACCTCCCAAAATTCCCCCAAACACATACACACACACACACAAAAGAAAACGCATTCCTCCCCTCTCCCAGAGTTCCTTTCACCAACAATTACAAGTAATGCTACAGACTCTTCAGAAGTCACACCAGTGTGAGATAGATTAAACCTGCACTATTTCATCTGTTTTCATACAGCATAGGCTGGAATGTTGCCAACTCAAAAACTGAATTAAAATAAAAACTTTACTCTTTAGTGTAGGAGAATTTCGGAATTTATGAAGGTACAAAGAGAAAAGTAGGAAAAACAAAACAAACAAAAAAGAAAGTCGTATTTTTCCTGAACAGGTTGGACTTTTTAAATCTAGCTGATTCTGTTAGTGCACCTTTAATCCCAGCATTCAAAGGCAGAGGCAGACAAAGAGATCTGAGTTCTATTTTGTAATAGTAAATTCTAGGTCATCCAGGGCTACATAGTATCTTGGCCCAAAGAAACAAACAAAAGTATCAAATATAAACAAAAATCAAAATGGCAGCAGGAACATTAATATTAGTTTAATTGCTCTTCCAGAACAAATCTTTCAGGAATAATTATACAAGTAAAGTTTATTCAAAGAGAATAAAATGGGGCAAATATTTTTAAGCTGGCAAAATAATTCTATTTTTACATTAAAATACAATGTGAAATCAGTTTCTTAAGACATTTTCTTCTTTAGACAGGCACGTAAGCCCATATGCCTGCAAAGTCAACACTCAATAATACACAGTAGAAGAGTGCGGGATTAAGGGTTATACTGTTATATAGCTGAGTTTGAGGCTAGCCTAAGCTACTAGAAACCTTGTTCTCAATAAACCAAAGATGGATCTTTACAAAATTCTCTATTAAAATTTCTAACAACTTAGTACCTAAACACTATATTAAACTTATACCACAAAAGATAATTTAAACTAATTTTAAATAAACCTTTCAAAGAATATCTACCTAAGAGAGAAACAACAAATGTTAATAACAGGGAGAAAAATCTATATAGAATACTCATATTGATAATATATTTTTTAAAGGTAACACACTATTTAAGGTTATTAAATATATTTGTTCCTCCCTTATAACAAGTCTACTGAAAAGTAATTATTAATAGCCCTCGAAGGGATAAAGAAAAGTTTTGATATACTTGATTTGTTTGAGCAAATTCAGGGCTGAATCTTACTAAAAAAGAACTAGAACTATTTGTGGGGAGATGGGACAAATTATTGATGCATCCAACAACATAGTTGAACTTCAAAACCATGCTAAATGAAAGAAGCCAGACACAAAATTGTATATTGTAAAATTTCACTTAACATAAAATTCACAGAGCAAAGGCAAATATACAGATAAAAAAGAAAGTAGTGGTCTTAGGCTAGGCAATGAGAATAAGGTTCAAATGCAAACAGGCAAGCAGATCTTTTGGAGGCAGTAAAACCATTAAAACTAAGAGGGAACTATATGGAGCAGTGAATGCCTGAAATTCCAGCAACTAGGAGGTTGAAGCAAGAGGATCAGGACTTTAAGACCAGCCTGGGCTACACAGTAAGACTGTTTCAATATCTCAAGAGAAACAATAATGAGGACCCCATGAAACTTGATGGTGGCTACTCACAGAACTTGGCCAGTTTATCAAAACACACTGCATATTTTAAAATGAGTAAACTTAAAAGTTAAAAACAATAAGGCTTTTTTTTTTAAATTTGTTTGCTTATTTTATGTGTATGGATGTTTTGTCTGCAAGTATGTTTACACATGGCTAGAACCCACAAAGGCCAGAAAAAGGTGTCAGATCCACTGGGACTGGAGTTATCAGAGCTTGTGAATAGCTATATGGGGACTGGGAATCCAACCTGGGTCCTCTGCAAGAGCAACAATTGCTCTACACCACAGAATGCAGTGAAGGTTTTTCATTTTTTTGTTTTTTGTTTTCCTGCCTAACGGAACTGGGTAAGGGCTCAGAGGTTAAAAGCACTGGCTGCTTTTCCATAGGTCCTGAGTATAATTACCAGCAACCACATGGTGGCTCACAACCATCTATAATGAGATCTGGTGCCCTCTTCTGGTGAGCAGGTGTACATGCAGACAGAAAACATTGTATACATAATAAATAAATAAATCTTAAAAAGAGAACTGGGTAAAATAGCTGATTATTTTTCTGAATTGTAGCTAACATATAAAAAATTAGATAATTTAAGGTCTGGTGTGTATGTGTGAAAGAGGGAGAGAGATTGAGTCTCAAACTCACAATATCTTAAATGCTGGAGTTACAAGTATACACCATCACATTCAAGGACTTTTTTTCTAACATTTTGCTTGTTCAGGGAGAGGGAGAAGAGACAGAAAATGTGTGTGTGCTCACACGTCACAGAATATTGTGGAGGTCAGAAGACAACTTGCAGAAGTCAGTTTTCTTCCTTCTACCATGTAGAACCCAGGGATCAAATTTAGGTCATCAGGCTAGGAGACAAATGCCTTTTCCCTCTGAGCCATTTGCCAGCCTCCACATGAGAAATTTAAAAAGAAGAATCATCTTCCACCAAAAATCATTCTCAGGTGTAAAGGACTTACACACTAAAGGAAAATAAGCCAGAGATATTAGAACTACACTTTAGATCTGGTGGCACACACCTATAATACTACTTCCCTAGCAAACAGAAGGTCATAGATAAGGAATTCAAGGCCAATACAATTAAGATTATGTCTCTAAAAAATAAACTTTAGGCAGTTCAAAGATACGCAATATATGTTTTAACTTACTAAAAGAAAATCCAAGGTTACCCCTGGATACTGTTTTCAGTAGAGTCAGAAGACCAGTTTCAGCACCACAATGTAATCACTTTCAGGGGTTTACTTACTTCCGAATGCAAATTTTGCAAAGCATGTCATATTTAATTTCATATTCCTACTTGAGCAAAGTGGTGGGAAAAGACTTTTTTCTAAAGCCGTTAGATTTGACAGATAATTTGATTATTATTCTCATAAGACCTTAAAGGAGCCAAATGTTTTTAACAATTAACAAGAAAGAAAAAGGAGGTAAAACTGTCGAAAATAGCAATCCTAGCACAGCAAGTAAAAATTTCAGCTTCATAAATAAATGTAATGACATAAGCAGAGTAAATGTAAAGGCTAGCATTTTCCTTCAAATTGTCCTAATATAGCTGCTCTTGTACTAGGATTACGGCTGACCAGAAGATAATTATATTATAACCACCCTGGATATTCAAAGGTGCAGAGGAATTTTGATTCAGAACATGGCTGGTCTAGCAAGGGATCAAATCCAAAGACCTTCTAGGGCTGTGTGATCAGACTGGAATACAGATGTGCCTTTAATCCCAGGAGACAGAAGCAAGCAGATCTCATAGTAGGAATATGGTATAGAGCAAGTTTTAGGTAAAGAAAAGCTTAGGTCCAGGTGTGGTGGTATATGCCTTTAATCTCATCAATCAGGAGACAGAGCATACAGATTTTTAAGTTCTAGTCAGTTCTGTTCAGGCAATTTACTTCATGGAGTTGCAAAGACAGTTACACAAGGACAGTTTTTTGTTTGTTTTTTCTTTTTTCTTCTTTTTTTGGGGGGATGGGATGGGGGGTTGTTCCAAGACAGGGTTTCTCTCTGTCCTGGATCTCCCTTCGTAGACCAAGCTGGCCTCAAACTAACACAGATTCACCTGCCTCTGCCTCCCAATCTGCTGGAATTAAAGGCGTGAGCCACCTCTGCCCAGTTTACTAGGAGAGAGAGGTTCAAGAGGAAACAAACTAGATGTAGGTGAGACAGAACAGAGAAGAAGCCGGCAGAAGACTAGAACAGGTTATTACAGTTAGTACGAGACCCAGCAGAACAAAAAGTCAGAGAAACCAGATTGAATCAGTCAGCTTGGAGAGGAGTTTGAGCCAGATGAGCTGAGCTGAACCTGCCAGCCAGAGTTAAGAACTAGAAAGGGTGAGCTTATTCATCAGTTTTTAGATCTCAGAGGTTGAAAACATGCTAGGCCTAGATTAGATTGTACAGAGGCTAGAAGCTCCCAGGACTAGGCCTACGTTAGCAGACAGAGGCAGTAAGCCTCAGAGACAACAATGAAATCAGTTGAATAAAGAACTCCACAAGACCAACAGAGTCAAGTAACCTACGCCCACGGGGACTCACAGATACCAAACCACCAACCTAAGTGCTTGCATGGATTGGACCTAGGTCCCCTACACTCATGGAGCTGATGGAGAGCTCAGTCTTCATGTGGGTCCCTTAGCAACTGGAGCAGGGGCTGTCACTGACATGGGACACGGTTGCTTACTACTGGATCATGTTCTAGCTGGGCAGCCATGTCTGACCTCAGTGAAAGAAGTTGTGCTTAGTCCTGATGGGACATTAAGTGGTGGAGTGAGATGGCACAAAGTGTGTGTGAGGGGGATTCCCTTTTCTGAGGAGATGAAGGAAATGGGAGAAGAGGATGTGAGGGTGGAATTGGGAGGAAAGGAAGGAGACGGCTCTGATCTGTATGTAAAGTAAATAAATAAAGAAAACACTGGGAGGAAAAAAGATACTTTAACATCTAATGATCAGAGCGGTAGGTTGGAAGAAAAACCCCAATGTGATTGGAGAAGAAAGACCACAACATTGCAGAAAGCAGAGGACACTTGACAGAAACGTTCCAAAGGACAGGAGACATCTGACATAAAGCCTAGGATGAGAAACTGGCCTGGAATCATCTCCAGAGGAAGCATCAGTTTAACTGGACACCCAAAGAGACTTGGGATACTTGGGAGAGCCTGAAGCAGGGAAGCAGCAGGGGCCTTGAGCCCAGAACAAAGAATGGTGCATGAGCCTCTGAGACAGCAAATCATCATCAAATCACAGTAAGCCACCTCAAAAGATAATATTAATTATATATACAGACTTTTCCTGCATTAAAAAATGGG